TTTCTACTATTAACACTTTCTATCAGAAAACGGGAACTAAAACATTTGACGATGTTTATTTAAGTTATTTATTTAATGCAGCGGTCCCACCGACACCCGACACCCGACACCCCGCCGGAGCTCCACCGCATTTCTTTCGGAAATGTGATTTGTATCTCTGTAGATTTGTTCAAGCGATCTTGATTGTTTCTTCCTGTACATCCGATAGACTGACACAGTACATCCAGCGGTTGTATTAAACTAAGAATAGACTTCGATTACATTATTTTTAGTTTTTTATGGCTAGCTTAGTCGTACATCGTTCTATGAATTTTTACATTTATTTTTTTATAGGAAACTACACTTTGTAATAAGTGAATAGCTTTATTTAAGTCTGACGGTCGCATGGCACTTTTTCACTTTATACCTTTGTTTGACGACCACAACTGTATATGTATATTCAAAAAGCTTTAGAACACAAATAATTTTACTTTGAAATTTGACAACATGTGTTCATTTTTAATTTTATTACGTAAAATTGTAAATAATAATAAAATGAAATGAGTGCATTTAATATTATAAAAAATAAAATTACACACATAGTCGTTTGTAGTAAATTAATGACATATGAACAATAAACATATTATATGAAAGTATAGCGATACAGTTGAAACATAGTCCTTCCATTCTCGATGCGGATGTTTGATTAGTAGCCCGCTCACTATATACACATAGTCAATATCAATTAAGTCCATTAATTGTTGAATCGTTCCAAACTAAGTGCTTCGTGGCTTCCGATCTATGCAGCAATGTCAGATAATTGAGAAATAAGCCTTACTTCTTGGTCCTATGATTTATATTGCATTAATTTAGTACCCATATTGTTAATTTGACAAGTAGATAAAATTAATGTTAGAATGCACATCCCCAATACTTTAAATCTACTTTTTACAAATTAAATTTGTTAATGAACCCCATCCAATAAGGAATCAATCAATTTCCAAACTTTAAGTAAAATTATATTTTTTTATATCGCACTCGGGGTTTTTTTGTGATGTGTAATGTACATATATAGGTAGGTTAACATATAGATTTATCTGAATATTTGTAAATGCAGCCTCGACAGCATAATCAGCCATATCACTGTTCCATTGCTTGGAAAAGTCCTCTTTTCACACAGAGAAAGAAAAAACATTAATCACCGCACTAGCTCAATACGGGTTGGTGATATTAAACTTTTGATTGGCAATAATTAGTTCAGATTTCCGCACGATGTTTTATTTTACTGTTTCTCTTTATGGGACCACACTATTAAATTATCAAAGAAATTACTTGTAGAAATTAAAAATTATTTCTTCTTTTACCTGTAACCTGTGCTACCTTGAAATTACCACAATAATGCTATTTTCAATGGCGTCCTCATACTAGAGACAGCGTCGCGCCTACGTCCGCGTAAAACAACAATAGTCTTTTGTGAACTTTACTTTGTGAATGACCCAGTCACACGTCCGTTAGTGGTCAAGGTAGTGTTCACGTTATACGCAATACATTTTCTCTTATCGTTTATCCATAAAAATAAATTCTCATTCACTAATAAAGTATAAGGGAAAATATATTTATATAGTATAACAAATGTACCTAAACATTGCCAAACATATTTGTTGTCAGTTTACAAAATAACGTGTTTAGTTTTTTAATTCCCTCGTGCTAATCTCCAAAAACATAACACATTTATCTAATGAGCAGATGATAATAAGGAACAATAAAACGTACAGTAGCGTGGTACGTCATGTGTATGATTCACACTCGGTTCATATAGCATCCAGGTCCGCGCTCCATAAAGGCGTTACGGACGGACGGCTAGTTGTAGGTAAGGTTACAATGGGGGCGCAAATTTCACGCAACATTATGTCGTTGCGGGGGCCTGTGGGGGCCACAGCAGCCGCGGCGGGCCGTGGCCTGTGAGCCGTGGCCGCGGGCCGGGCCATGCTCCAAGGCCCGCGCTCCCGCTGTCTGCCATGCAGCGAATCGATGCAGCTCCGCCCCCGCACCTGCCCGCCGCGCCAACTATGTTTTCACGATTTTCCTCGCCTTTGCCCAGCAAACTTTACACATATCTTATAGAATTTACATAATAATGAATCATGAGACATCATTTCGTGTGAAATTACTGACTACATAAGGATTTTCGTACCGTAGATGGGTAATCGTTATTGATGACCTCTCTCCACCGTCCAACATTGGTTCTCATAAAGCCGGTCAATGACTTTGAATCCCGACATTTAGTACCTATCCCCCTCCCTACCCATTGTTGTCTGAGTGAGCGCTATGTTTTTGCAATCTTTATTAATAACTCATTTCGCAGATTTAGTAATTTAGTGACAAGATAATTAAGGATTTGCAGAACCGAGAATATCTATCTACTATATCCACTTGGTACCATACTGTAAGTTAGTTTAATTTCGGACTTCCATATTCATTAACTGCAAGTACATGTCTAATCCTTTAGGGAAAGCTAAACTGAAAGTTAAGGCAGTTCGAATCTCAGCGATAGTTGAGCGTTACGTTCAGGGAGCTATAATATTCCACTTGAAACTGACTCGCACAACTTCATGTAAACAAATAAAGCTAATCAATTATGAACTTCGGTAATAACCAACCACTAAGTAATATTCAATAACATAGACAATTGTTAATTTGTCCAATAATTACTTTAGAAAAGCATTAATTTATTGGATTGTATTTTATTACTATATATTATTTCGTTTTCCTGAATGTTAATTAATTAAGTTAACAATAATGAAAATTTATTTTATCCTCTTTTAAATAGCAGAAAGTAATACAATACAATTCAATACGTAGATACATGTACGTTTTGTTGATTGATACGGTATAATTCAATTCAGAAAACTTACATAACTCAAAAACCACAAATTTAGATATAATTAAAGTTAAAATATTCTTTGGGTTCCTATAAAAAAATGTCATTTGTGTGTGTACAATAATAATATGTTCCAAGTGTACAGTAGTCAGTAGGTACAAACGTAACCTCCCAGTTTTAGAACTTAATTTGGATACATGAATACAGAAAAAAATGCTACCTACCACGCGCTATTTTATGAGCCATGATAGATCATAGTGATCTATCATCCTACGTAAAACGTGACTGACGGCATGTTTACGCAGCAAGGTCCAATAGAAAGGGACGTTAAGGGCTATTTTAGTACTCGGTGGAGTCCAGTTCACCAATGCTCTGTATAACAATATCATCACTACGCTAGGCACGAAAAGCTTGGGGCAGGCTTGTAGTTGTGGTTACAACAAAGTAACATTTATAATTAATTAGTACTTCGTATACATTATTCACTAAACCCAATTTACTATAACATAAAATCGCATATGTCTGTGTCGTAAATATATACATGCAGCTTCCATAGATCAACACACATATAAATTAAGCATGATTATTGGTATTATCTATTGTTGTAATTTGGAAATTCCAATAACTATATACGTAGGTTTTATTTCTAAACTTAAAGTGGCAAAATATAAAATGCAAAATATGAGCAACGTAATTAAAAAGGAGGTTTTCAGTTAAGACTGAAATCCAGGCGACTGGAGGCGTTCGCGCCAGTTCTCTTTGTAAATGGGTCAGAAGCTATTCAAGCTCACCCTGTGCTCCCCTTCCCCTCAGCCTCGTCCCCTAACTGTGTGTGCCCCTTGCATAATTGAACACGAGGCAAATTATTGTCACGCCTGAATCGGCTGATATGAACGCTTACAATATTTTCCTTTCAAATCTCAGTGAAAAATTCGTGGGAAAATTGCGAGCCGTAATTCCTTTTATTCCGTTGTTATTGTTCGACGCGCAGGTACGGCCTACATTCATTTTCCACTATTGTGATAAACGAATAACATAAACAAGTATTCACACAGTGCCGGCAAGCGCTAACGTCTGTTTCGGCAGTTACATAGCTATAAATTAATTACAGCCTTCATGAATATATGTGTATATGTTAACGCTTAGTTAAGTCGCGTTCCGTAGCAACGCAAATGTGTCAGTCATTTAAATCCATTGTACTTTAACCGCCTCGCGTCTGCAAGATTATATTTAATCAGGAAACATGATGTGGGATAAAGCAGACGGGTGGCGTCGTAATAAGTCACCTATGTAAGGTGTTTTCTTGTATACCTTTCTGAATCTACCTACTTGTTGAATTTGCCTACGTTTGTTTGCATTAGAATACATCGTTATGTAACCCACCTTGTGTATGATATATTTGTCACATTTTGACTTAGTTTCCTTCTACTACCAAGATTGTGTTTCTTTAGTGTTTAGTTGTCGTGAATCACTACATCAATAAGTTGCTTTTTGGCTCGTCTTACAATTGCCTGTCTTGGTATTTACCACATTGCTTTACCAATATTATACTTTAAATTTAGACTACGTTGAAATTCCAAAAGTTATGAACCAATACCTGAGTATACAAACAGTAGAGATTCTAAAGGTATAATTTTATTAACATGCTCTTACTTAATTGCTGCTGACATAGTTACACAATTAGATTAAAGTGGGTCAAAGAGCAATGAGATGCTTATGTGCATAGGTACATATGTGACCGCCAATTTTGGCGCAGTTTCGACATAGCCATGTAAATACCAACCATAAATGTTACATTTTGCCAATTCAATTAATTATGTACCTACTTACTTATAAGTAGTCCACAAAATAAAAGAACAATCATATGTATTGTTAATTTTTATCCGGAGCCAGTAGGAAATATGTATAATGTTATCATTATAATGCCATCAATTCTTTTACCTTCACAATAACAAAGATGTGGGGTTAGGTGTTTATTTTACATTGTACAGAAAAGAGATAATTTTGTAAACCTCATTGCCATAAGGATTGCTAATATCACAATCAAATTATTCGGTAACACTTGTCACAGGTGACAATAATAATAAGGTTTAATTTCGTTACTTCAAATACTAATATAAACGTTTTGGTGTGTTTGTAGGCCGCGGTGCCAGAAGGTATGACATTTCCGGGTCCGCTGCCGGATGTAGCCGAGAGGTGCGGGCGCTGGGCGCCTGACTCGCTATCGGCGTCGGCATCAGGCAGCTCGGACGAGAAGACTGTCCCGCGCCGGCCGCGCTGGCGCATCGCTTTAGCGGCACTGGTCGTGCTGGCCGCGCTCGGTGCCGCATTAGCGCTACCGCTGGCGCTCGGCGGTGGTGGCCGTGCCACTCCAGAACAACGACTAACCACTATACGTCGCATGCTGCGAGACTCGCCACTAGTTGACGGACATAATGACTTAGCATGGAATGTTCGAAAGTTTTTACATAATAAAATTGGTGATTTTAATTTGAGTGCCGGTCTAGATGGAATTGAACCTTGGGCGCGGTCGCGCTGGTCGCACACAGATATCCCGCGCTTGAGGCTCGGCCAAGTTGGTGCCCAGTTTTGGTCAGCATACGTGCCATGTGGAGCTAGAGATCGTGACGCAGTTCAACTAGCACTCGAACAAATGGACGTTATCAAGCGTATTGTAGAACTGAATGCGGCGCATTTGGCGCTTGTTACCGACGCCGGGGAACTTTTGGATGCTCATCGTGATGGTCGCATAGCGTCTCTTATAGGCGTAGAAGGTGGACACGCCCTTGGAGATTCGCTAGCCGTTCTTCGAGCCTTCTATCAGCTCGGTGCTCGTTATCTTACGGTGACACACACTTGTGATACAAGATGGGCACGAGCTGCAGGCACGGCAGGAGGACTCAGCGAATTCGGAAGGGCTGTAGTCAGGGAAATGAATCGACTTGGTATGATAGTAGACTTGTCGCATGCGGGGGAAGAGACAGCACGCGACGCTTTAGAAATGTCACAAGCGCCTGTAGTATTTTCGCATTCAGGAGCAGCAGCTCTCTGCAACTCGAGTAGAAACGTTCCGGATGACTTACTTCGCATGATTGCCGCAAACGGTGGCGTCGTTATGATAAATTTCTATGCAAAACTAGTAACTTGTGGTGAGCGAGCCACTCTAGAAGATGTGGTGGCGCACATAAACCATGTACGGAGGGTCGCTGGCGTGGAGCACGTCGGCTTGGGTGCTGGGTACGACGGCATAGACGCGCCGCCCGAGGGGCTGGAAGACGTGTCGCGGTATCCGCACTTGCTCGCTGAGCTGCTGCGCGACCCGGACTGGAGCGAGGAGGACGTGCGCAAGCTGGCCGGCATGAATGTGGTACGCGTGTTGCAGCACGTAGAGCGTGTGCGCGACCAGTGGCGGCGTGCTGCCGTGCTCCCGGGCGAGGAGACGGCGGGAGCGCGTCGTGGCGACTGCGTGTATGGGCCGGCGTGACGTAGGCTACGAGCCGCGCGCTCCCGCGGCCCCCCTCGTACTGCTCAATATTGACACTTGTTGAACGTAGTTATACATGTATATTAGTGTCCAAATGTGATTTAGCGATTAAAGTAATCTCTACCTGACCTCGATGCACAAATTGTTTAGCTAAGGAGCCGCGCGTGCTGGGCGCTTCGTCTCGGCGTCGCGCGTGTCGGCTGCGGTTTGCCCGCTGAACTCTTCTCCATCCATGCACTCGACTTCGTTGACGAAAGCCCAATGCGATCCGCGATTTATAAAAATGTCAACAATTGATGATATAAAAGAATAATGTGTTTATAGAAAAATAAATATTCTTTATTTATAATAAACGTTATTTTTATTAATAAGACATTTATTTACAAGGTAAGAAGTCTAGACAGCCAATAATAAAACGGTTTGCTGTATATTTTTTGTCAACCATAGTTATAGTAGCTAGGTAGGTGTGTTTTCTATTTCATTTAATTTTTATTTATTAAATACAATTTATAATATGACTAGCCAATAAAAAAGAAAATACAATGGACAGTCATATCGCTTTCTTCAATCTCTACTTGACAGGTCTTCGAGAAACAGAAATTATTTACCTAATACCTACGAGTCAAATTATACCTATAGATAAAGCCAAAACCCTAATAATATACTTACGTAAGTTGTAAGGTAAGTTTGTTACTGGTGTAGCGGCACTATCACGTCGCTACATTACTTAGATACGATAGAGATAAGACATACATGTTAATTGTTGCACGTTTGTTAGGATAGCTAAATCTGAAAATCTCACGCATCTTCTTAGTATATAAGCACCAGCAATTAAAGTAATAAACAGACCTTAACCATCTACAGTCTCATTATTTACCTTGCCACGAAGTCTGGCAAATTGGTGACCCCGACGAAGAACAATCAACATGACTCATTCACCCTGCAAATCAAGCAGCAGCCAACAAGAAGCCTTGGAGATATCAGCCGGAACCGCCATTTTATCCCGTATTCCGGAATTTTGGAGGGACCAACCCAGATTATGGTTTAAGCAACTAGAAGCCATAGTAGCACCACAGAAGCAAGGAGACGATTACAAGTACTATACGGTCATTGCAAAACTGCCAAAAGAAGAAATAATACAGGTTAGTGACCTCATTACTTGCCCACCGCCAATAGAAAAGTACAAGGCTATCAAAGAACGCCTAATCAGTTGCTATGAGGAATCAGACCAACGTCAGCTCCAAAAATTATTGTCTGAAATGGATCTCGGCGACCAGAAACCATCACATCTTCTGCGCAAGATGCGGACCCTGAGTAACGGAAATATCAGCGACGAAACCATCAAACTTCTATGGTTGAGGCTTCTGCCACCATCAGTGACTTCGGTTCTAGCAGTCACGGAAGACATAGATGTGAACAAGATGAGCCAGATCGCGGACAAGATATTAATAAATTCAACACGTACAGAGGTGTCAGCTGTAAACGGAAACAAATCTGGCGACGATACAATGTCATGCATACTAGCACAGTTAGCAGAAATGCAATTGGAACTAAATGCAATTCAGCAAGGTCAAAAAAACTATCGACGCAGCACTCAAAGTTATTCCAATCGTCGGCATTTCCTACCACAGTCAAGTTCAAGAGAAAGAAGGCACTTTTGTTTTTACCATGGAAGATTTAAAAAATATGCACAAAAGTGTGTTCAACCTTGTGATTGGAAACAGGATCTCAACTCAAGGAAACAGGGAAACTAATTGAAGCACGGACAACGGCGGAACTCTGTGCTATTCACCCGTCCAACCGCCTCACTATTACCGACCGAAAAAGTGGTATGAGATTTTTGATTGACACGGGAGCAAATATTTCAGTTATTAGCAAGCCACAGAGACAGTCACTAATACAAGATGAACAATGTATACTTTATGCCGCCAATGGTACAAAAATTAAGACATATGGTGAAAAAACACTCTCTTTAAACTTCGGGCTACGAAGAAACCTTGTATGGAACTTTGTCATCGCCGATGTAACACAACCGATTATTGGAGCAGATTTTTTAGAGCATTATAAGCTATTAGTCGATATAGCTGGTCGAAAACTCATAGATAGGGTAACTGAGCTGACAACGCCCGCAACCCTGATCAAATCGACGCAGCAAACAATCCGCACTATTAACATTGAGACGAATCCACGCATTACTCAACTATTAAATGAATACGAGGATATTACGAAACCAGCCTCCCTCCACACTACTCCAAAACACAAGATTAAGCATCATATTATCACTAAAGGACCACCGGTATCAGCACGTGCAAGACCATTACCTCCTGATAAATATCATATAGCAAAGAAAGAATTTCAGACTATGATGGAGCTTGGCATTTGTCGCCCTTCGGACAGCCCATGGGCTAGTCCTTTGCACATGGTTAAGAAAAAGAACGGTGAATGGAGACCATGTGGAGATTATAGAATGCTCAATAGCGTGACTGTACCGGACAAATATCCACTTCCACGACTAACTGATTTCACTTACATACTAGAAGGGAAGCAAATCTTTTCCAAAATTGATATTCGAAAGGCGTACCACTGCATTCCTGTAGAAAATGTGGAAAAAACTGCTATTATCACTCCTTTTGGACTTTTCGAATTTCCAAAAATGCCTTTCGGTTTACGTAATGCGGCGCAAACATTCCAACGATTCATGGACTCGCTATTCAGGGATTTGGATTTCGTATTCATATTCGTCGACGATTGTCTTATAGCATCTGAAAACGAGGCTCTACATTATCAACATTTGGATACGGTTTTCAAACGTTTACATGAAAATGGATTAACAATTAATCTCGAAAAATGTGACTTTCTTAAGAGTGAAATAGATTTTCTGGGTTATCATACAACACGTCGAGGAATACGACCAACGGAGGAAAAGTACAAAGCAATTATGGAATTTCCTAAACCTACGACAATCAAGGAGCTAAGAAGATTTTTAGGAATGATCAACTTTTACAGAAACAATCTCCCTCATGCCGCTGAATATCAAACTATCTTAAACAACTACCTGCACGACTCTAAAAAGAATGATAATTCTCCAATTTCTTGGACAACAGAGGCCGAAAAAGCTTTTGATAAATGCAAGGAAAATATAATGAACGCAGTATTAACAGTTCACCCCTCTCGCACCGCCCCTTTGGCACTTATGACGGACGCCAGTTCGACCTGTGTTGGCGCAGTTCTGCAGCAGAAGTCAGGACGTAATTGGGAACCATTAGGATTCTTTTCAAAGAAATTAAGTGATACTCAACAAAAATACTCGACATTCGACAGAGAGTTGCTCGGAATATATATGGCAGTCAAACATTTTCAAAGGTTAGTCGAAGGAAGAGAATTTACTATCTTTACAGATCATCGACCTTTGACTTACGCATTTTCCCAAAAACCGTCATCTAATGATACGCCACGGCGAATACGACAACTGGATTTTATTTCACAATATTGTACCAACATTCAACATATAGAAGGACGTGACAATATTGTAGCTGACGCATTGTCACGGATAGAACAAATTGATGTGCCAGCACCGATTAATTATGCTGATTTAGCAAGATGTCAGCATGATGACCAAGAATTATTACGACTTCGCAATAACAAGAATTTAAAATTTTCAAATATCAAGGTTCCGGGTTCTACTGAAGTCATCGCCTGTGACATATCTACAGGAAAAAATCGCCCCTATTTACCAGAAAAATTTCGGAGACAAATTTTTAATGTCATGCATGGACTGAGTCATCCTGGGAAGAGAGCTACTAGGAAAATGATAACTCAAAGATATTTATGGACAAGTATGAATAAAGATATAAATGAATGGTGTAAATCGTGCCTAGCTTGTCAAAAATCAAAAGTGCAACGCCACACTATATCACCTGTCGGGAACTTTATGCCATCTCAACGTTTTGAACATCTACACATCGATATTGTTGGACCGTTACCTGTTTCTCAAGGAAAGCGATATTTAATTACAATGATAGATCGTTGTACTTCTTGGCCGGAAGTATTTCCCGTTAAAGATATCACAGCCGAAACAGTAGCGCGCATACTGTATGAGGGATGGATAGCAAGATTCGGATGCCCATTACGCATTACTACGGATCAAGGTCGACAATTTGAATCAAGAATATTTGAATCACTTTCACAATTTTTAGGAGTACACAAAATTAGAACAACGCCTTATCACCCACAATCAAATGGAATGATAGAGAGATTTCATAGAACTTTAAAAGCGGCGCTAATATCAAGAGAATCTAATGCTAATTGGATGAACGAAATTGCTTCAGTTCTACTTGGATTACGAAGTTGTGTACGCGAGGACACAGGATATAGTGCAGCAGAGATGATATATGGCGCACCTATAAGGCTTCCCGGAGAATTTTTTGAATCGTCACAGCCTTCGACATACGAAGAATTTGTCACAAATATACAAAAGGACATTTCTCGTATGACATCAACATCAAAACGCAAGAAAATTAAACAAACAGTTTTCATTCACCCCGAGCTCAACAAATGCTCACATGTATTCGTGCGCTGTGACAGAATAAGGAAAAGTTTAACACCACCATACGAAGGACCATTTCTAGTGACAAAGAGGATAGATAAGACGTTTATCATTAAAATTGGGGACAATGAAAAAGCAATATCTATAGACCGATTAAAACCTGCATTTGTCTTCAATAGTGGAACGAACGTGCCAAATTCAGAAAATAATCACAACGGGCGGAACACGTACATCACGAAGTCAGGACGGGCGGTTAAGCCGACAGTACGATTCGTCACTTGCTGACACAAGTAATCAGTCCATTATTTAAATGGACTGATTACTTGTGTCACTCACCGTATTTTGAAAATACCATCATATACCGTCAGTATCTACGAGAGAACAATGGGCAACCAAAGCTCCAAAGATCAAATCGTATATAACTCCGACAGTTGCCTTAATCAAAATGAAGCCGACCATCTCAAAAGTCTTGTCCTGGAAGAGCTACGGTGGACGAGAAACATTGCAATTGGACAAATCCTCATCACAATTGGCATCCTTCTTCTCTACGGAATACTGAAGACCTTAGACAGAAGAGTGAAAACAATAGCAAGAAACAATCAGCACAAATGCAGTGGATAGTTCATCGACTGCCGCCGCCGTCACAACAAAGGCAGCAGTTTTTATTTCCTTCGAATTAGCAACAATGACATTACATTACGCATAGGATGTAATTTATCAGCAAGGTTAAGTTATTATATAATTAGGTACATACTAATTTTTTTCAATTTATATGTTAATTATTTTTAAAAGGGGGGAGTATATGTAGCGGCACTATCACGTCGCTACATTACTTAGATACGATAGAGATAAGACATACATGTTAATTGTTGCACGTTTGTTAGGATAGCTAAATCTGAAAATCTCACGCATCTTCTTAGTATATAAGCACCAGCAATTAAAGTAATAAACAGACCTTAACCATCTACAGTCTCATTATTTACCTTGCCACGAAGTCTGGCAAAATGACCTAGGAAATATTAGTCAGCAGATGGTACGGGTTGATGATATGTCATCGAATTGGACTAATCTGCAATGTGGCGTTCCACAAGGCGGCATACTTTCTCCTCTTCTATTTTCTGTTTTTATTAATCTCATAACTTTTGATCTTCAGTGTGCGTATCATCTGTATGCTGACGACCTGCAAGTGTACTGTCATGGGACGGTGGCTGAGCTGGACGGGTGTATAGCGAAAATTAATCGGGACTTGGCTGCTATCGAGAACTGGTCCAACCGGTTTGGAATCGCAGTCAATCCTGACAAGTGCCAGGCAATTGTGATAGGTAGTAACCATAATATCGCCAAAATTGACGTAAATACTTTACCATCAGTCACTTACGGCGGTACACCTGTCCGGTTTAGTGACAGTGTTAGGGACTTGGGCTTGCACATTGACAGCACCCTCAGTTGGCGGAATCAAGTTGCCAGTGTGAGTCAAAAGGTTACAGGATCATTGCGGTCTCTGTATCGTCACAGAAACTTACTGCCTCCTAGCACTAAGGCGATGCTTGTACAGACCTTAATCTTCCCCATCATCGATTATGGTGACTTGTGTTACTATGACCTGAATGCAGATCTCCTCAATAAACTCGACCGTCTTCTAAATAACTGCATTCGATTCGTTTCCAACTTACGTAAATATGATCACGTGTCTGAGCAGCGATCATTGTTGAAATGGTTGCCTATCCGTCAGCGCAGAGAGCTAAGGGCGCTCACAACTTTATTTACTCTTCTCAACTCTCCCTCTTCCCCTGACTATCTATCTTCATATTTTCAGTACGTGTGCGACAACCATACTAGAAGTCTGCGCTCTTCGCACAATCGACTTTTGCATGTCCCTGCCCACCGCACTAACTATACTCATTCTTCTTTCTTCATACAAGCCATTTCCTTGTGGAATAAGCTTCCCTCGGATATCAGAGCTGCAACCAGCCGGTTGTGTTTCAAGCGTAGGGTGCGTGAGTACATAGGCAAGATGATGGTAGTTTTCCCACTTAGATTATAAATTGTCCTCATTATATGTATTTTTTTTTTATATTATATTACTTATTTATATTATGTGTATTAGTGTTTATATATGTATGTATTTTATATAATTATTTATATATTATTTTTATATATGTAAGTTAGAATTGATTTACACCTCCACCTCACGTAACTTCCTAAATTGCTGTATATCACCTACCACACATCTCTGCACTACCAAAAGGTTGACTGGCAGAAAATGCTTCTAGCATTAAGTCCTCCGATATGCAATTGTATATAAAGAATAAATAAATAAATAAATAAATTAGTCTCTTACTTCGAGCCACTTACAAAAATCTTGGGAAACTCACCCTCAACAACGGGCTTAAGATAAGCCCTTACGGGATGCAGAGCCATACCCTGCTTTTGTTAACCGCTGGCACTTGGGGAACTAGACAGCTATCTTATCCTTAGCTAACTAGCTAGGTTAGGTTAGCAATTAAGCAAACAAGAGACGTGATAGAGGTTTTAGCAGCACTATCACCTGTCTTCTTTTTCGGAAACGTTCCCTTTTCTCCCAGTATACAGTAACTTGTTGTCAGAGCTGAATATTAGGTACAAGGGGCCATGAAAGTGATAGCATTTCACATTACACCCGTTTCCTCTCCCGCTCCAGGCATGACAAGGATGATGGTGGTCATCATCCTTGTCGAGCTTTTTTAGAAACCAATTGTAGACACGTGTTGATTAAGTACAAGAATAATTGGTTTCTTGGCTTGTGTCACTTTGTCTTATTTAAATTCTCACTTCTAATGTGGCTCATAGAAAAAGGGTATGGAGTGATTAGGCGAATGTCAGACGTGATAAGAAAATTCAAAGAAGATACGTTTCAACCAATTTCTTAAAAGAGAGCTTTTAATTTAATTAATTGACTGACATATTTACCCTCACTGTCGGGTTTAGATACAAAGTAAAGTTGTAAAGTGGGTAATTCTTTTAGGTCCGAAATATATTACAGTGGCATGGCGTGTTGTGCCGTGCCAGAAGCCGATTCGGCTTCATAAAACAAACAAACTCGACATCTTTATAATATTAATTAGTAAGATGGTAAACACAGACTTGTGTGGCGTGTCGTATCGCGTGCTATCTTCAAACCGAGAGGTACGTCGCGACACGACACACCATGATTCCGTCATATAATTCGGGCTTAACATAATTATTTACTCTGGTAACCCTGACTTTGTCTGTCACTGTCAAATAAATATGTCAAAAATATTGACATTCTATAGTCAAATGACCAAAGTCAAACTAAACTAAAGCCAGTCAGTTTAATGTCACTGCTGCTATCAGTATACTGTAAATACGTATTTTTTTAATAAATTGTGTAAATTGTTAAAACAGACGTATGCCAATAGGAAAACAGTGTACTACAAGATTTGTGTTGGAAATTGCGATTAAGAAACTAATGTCAAGTTGAAGGATTCAAGTTCGTAATTGCTTGATTGAAGGTAAGTTGAGAATAATTTTAATGTAGAATTTTTGTTTCTGGAAAAATGTAGGTAATATCTGAGTATTTGTGATCATCGAACGCATCTTGCACGTTAATTCACAAAATTCCTCGTATTGCATGCAGCGTTACCTTGACTGGAGATGGATCCTAAGCAAGGTTGGTTTAACCAGCAACATTATCATAGTATTTTCGTGTTATGTTATAGATATCATAAACAAACACGCCAATACACATATCCTTATAAAATTTCTAAGAAACACTTTGCTTTTATGTCACTTGTGTATTTTACCTTCACATTAAGATGTGGCGTATGGTAGTAAGATATTCTGGTCCTAGCTTATTGTGTTCGTATTGAGTATATTTCAAACAGGTTGGTATCGCGCAGCTTAATTTTAAACAGGCACCTTGTGGTCGTATACAGAACATACCTAAATAGATTTCCATCTTATTATTTTTAAGATAAATATGTAAGGTCATGCAAACTTCAAACATAATAGGTTTTTTAACTGATATGTCAAAGTTATTTGTTAAAGATCAATGTAAAATCAATTGTATGGTATTTATCTACAATATCAACAGTGAATCAAATAGTTTCCTTAGATTTATTTAACTGTATAGTTCCATGTGTACCAATGCAAAATGTAGATGCACTCAAATTTGTGTGAATTTTATGTCCTGTGACTAGATAATCTTTATAGTTAATTGTACTTAACATTATTTTAGATACATTTAATGAATCTGTGTCAACAATAATAGAAAGAAAAGTAAGAGGTTGGTTAAGTGGAGTGATTGACGACATGCGGCGAAGTAGTCCAGTGCAACAGTGGCTGGATTCCCTGCCAGCTGATGATACAGTCGCACCTGAAGAAACTAGTGAAGAAGTAAAGATTTCAGAGCCCAAGTCTGATGACAATGATAGCAAAGCAGATGAAACAGTAACTGAGAACACAGTTATAGAACCTATCAAAGATGAGCTCCAAGATGACCAGAACCTAGAAGTTCCTTTAAAAGAAGCCTGGAAAAGGAAGTCACTTGATAGTGGGTTACTTACTAGCACTCCTCAAAGAACAAATGTTAAAAGACTGCAGCGGGACCATTCAATACAATCAGAGGGATACTCCCCCAAGTTTAAGAATCCATTATTTAGGGACCATTCTTTGCAGGTAAGTTTCTATTTCCATGTGCTTAGTATATAATTTGCCATACATGAAAGTTGTCCATATTGAGTGATTTGTTTTTTTTTAACAGTCTGATAATAGTGGTTCAAGTGGAAGCTCAGTTTTAAATGTACTGGGAGCTCGAAAAGTTGATGCTGAGTCTGTACTGCTTGCTTTAGGCTTTGGACCAAGTGAAAAGCAGCAAAAATTGCAAAGAATCCCTGACAGATTTTTAGCACCATCTAAAGTGAGTTGTCATTTTGTTATTTATTTTAATCAGTCTTTTGGACTGGAATATGAACAACAACTTTAACATAAACCGGTCTTCTGTGTCACATTTGTACTTCATTATAGAATCTCCAGATAATAATATAAAGATTTTAATAATGGTAATATAAAATATTGTTTTTTTTTTTTTGTTTAATTTATATTATTATTTTATTCTATTAACAGCTCAAAGGTATAAGTACAGAAGATTTTATAAAGAAAGAGCAGCACTCAATGCGGATGCATGATTGTGGTATATTTGGATATAGAGGTCTTACTGGTAAGTTTCAGTCATTCACCTTTTTATGATGGTAAACTTTGGACTTTAGACTTTGGACTTGAATTTGGCCAGGATATATTTTCATTCTATGTATTTTTATAGCCAAAAACAAGTGTTCACAAATATTTTGCTCCTGTTGAAGTTATTAAACTGCAATAAAAATAAACGTAGGTCATAAATTCAATGTCGGTGACGTCACGTGCTGTCGTTTATAAAAAAAAACGAAACAACCATAATGAATTAATTATTATCTTTATTCTATTTTACATACTTCTTTACGTATTTTGGCAATAAAAACTCCATAGAATGACTTACACTAACATGTTTTAATATTTTAATTAGCTTTGGCAAAATATTATTTACTTAAACAGATTTAATGTTGGGGCATAAACATTTTCGATTAACATTACTGACTTTGGAAAACAGGGCATTGCGTTCATTTTTACATAATATTAGTGTGTATATGTATATGTTTTAATTATGTTAATTACTTAATCTTGTTATATTATTATTGCATTATGTGAGCTGTCTTAAACAGGGTGGTCAGTGACGTGTCTAGTTTTTAAGTAGGTATCAAGATGATATTTGATAAAATCGTTAATGCATTCAATGAAAAACCCGATCAACAAAGGTCAACCTAACGCGCGATTTTATTTTTAAGTATAATAAAATACAGATTTAGCTATTTACAGCAATCTAAGTTTAATAATAAGATCCTTTATCCTTACGAATCAACATTTAAAGTTGCATAGCTCACGTAATGCCGATATTATATTCATTAATTTTATAATATTGTAAAGTTACCTGTAAGATTTGGGCTGGAATTAATACTAACAATAATAACAATCTCATCAAATGACTAACAGAACACTGCACACCTGTATGCCGCTTTATGAAACCTGTTTCTCCGAGTTGTCATAGATCATATCAAGTTCCCGAGATTGCAGTGCAGTAAGTACCTAAAATTATGTGGTGTCGTCTTTGTTTTATTTTACTTTTCAATTAACTAGGTATATCCAACACTAATAATTGCCAACTTATCCGTTAAAAAACACTATTGTATGCCTCTAACTAACTTATAATATGCTATGTACTTACATATTGCAAAGTCTACTGAAAAAGACTGGTTAGTGAAAAAAGGCAGTCATACTTATTTCAAAGTTAAACTGCTGAATGAAACGTTCAGTGAAATTGTATATAAGTACTTACTTATTTATAATAATTATGAGAAGTCAATAACACACTAACAAAACAAGCAACATATAAGTAATTACGATGAAAATACGTAATTACGTACGATATCGTCCCTAAAGAAGAAATCATTGTTGACATCTTTGAGAAATAAAAGTTGTGCTATCATTTATATTTAGGTGCCTATGTTTTTATCAAAATTTGGATATCTAGCTATTTATCCGTTTCAGGGAATCCTCATGTTCCACCGTCGACAATTGTAGCTAAAATAATAGGTTGCATCCTTCAAGATGAGGTATGTCGTGAAGAGGCGTTAATAAAATCCAGACACTCGATAGCAGACATGCGAACTCAACCAAACCTCAGTGCAATTCTCGCCGCGCGTATGCGCCACAACTAGATAAACAATCGTGACCTTACCTGCCTTTGTATAAACAACACTTCAACCCGAATTATAAGCACATTATTTAATTCGTGGTATAAAAATATCGGTTGTTAAATAAGCAATGCAATTCCCAATGTAATTCCCAGTTTAAGCTCAAAATTACACGCTCAACGTAAAATATTGTTATTGGTGAAGGGATAACTAATTTATTTATATGTATAATAAGAAAAGACTTATACCATTGAATGGAACATTTCTAAAGTAAACCCGACTGTTAATTACAAAACCAAATCACAATCTGTAGTAAACCTAAGGTTAAAAGAGTTTATTAATGTTAAAGTTCCGATATTTTAAAGAGTATCTAAATCTTATATTTCTTGTACTACATAGAATTAGGGATCATACATTTTTGACAAGTTTTAAACAGTAAAAGTAGTCGGATGTAATGGAATACCTCTTCCTTACAATATTCTAAAATATAGATATTTATTAGAAGTCAATAAAAAATTTAATAGAAATAAATCTATCATTTCCTATGACTATTTCTGAGCTTATTGTAAATAACTTAAAATTCTACGTATTTAAATAAAAGAACTTACGTAATGTTAAGCCAAATGTTATTGATTGTACTTATCGCTTCATATTTATGACGTAGGTGTAGTGCAAAGACTATATTATGACTATTGTTTGTTTGTATCCTAGAACCTAGATACTTTTGGGTCATATCAAACTTGCCTGAATATAAAAATGAAATCTGATTTAGGTACCTAAGTGTTTTGTGATAGTGATGTAAATAGTGTTATATTTTCTTATTATAATTATTGGTATTTATTTCTAAAAGTAATAAATTTTAAAAATTTAATTTCATTGTAATGCATTTTATCTACTGTAGATATTTAGTATGTAAAACAAAGCTTTTATCGGCGTTGCGATGAGATACAATCTCTGAGAATTTTGTGATGTAAGATGTGACTCGAATATATGTATATCATTTTATTGTTTGTTAATTCAATTGGAAATTGTATTTAGTGAATTGCAATGGGGCAGTCATTTGTCATAAATACTAACAAATGATAGCTTAGTTCAAACAAAGATTTTGCACAGAACTTGAAATAAGGTACTGCTGGTCCAGTGCAAGTAAACAAATTACTTAAAAGTAGCTAATTGAAAGTCTTGAACCTATGGGAACTTGAGCATTGTGAAGAATGTGAAGACCTTTTAATGCCTATAATAATATTATACCGTTTGGAGTAGGTATCAGGGAGGTCTGGCAAAATATGGCCTCCCCTCTAAATGCGTTTTGCCCTTCATACCAAAACACTTGTTAGTTATGACAGACAGTGAACAAAATAATTATAAAATTTATTTATGATCTGAATTTCTTACTTACTTATTCGATTATGTTGATGACTTAATATGAAAATAAGATTTTATTTACTTGTGCCTTATATAAAATCGGTACTTGTATAATTTAAGGTGATTCAAATCATTCCTAATAATAAATGTGCATTGCATTTCGACGGTAAATAAAGTTGTCTATGATTACCAATTTACCACTGCTGTGTTACTGTACTAAGCCAAAGCTTTTAAAGTCTTCTAAAGGGATTAAATGGTATTCCAAATTGACCAAGTAATCACTTTGAAGGATTTTAAAACAACATTCCTAAGATTAAAATGTTCAGGAAGTGAAATGCAGTGTTGATAGAAGCGTTTAACGATATTTAATTATAGAATTTATGAATGTTAGAACAAAATATTAAATTTTATGTAAGTTAATAGCTTAGGTAGGTTCCGCTCACTTCCTGAAGCCAAGGTCTGTAGATAAACTGGCCTTAAACTATTGTGATGTGGTTAATGTGACCTGATCCTTATATGTCATATTATTTTTGCTCATTAAATTAGGTACTTAACTGTATTATTTGAAGATCTGAATATGAATGTGTGTGTCGAATCAATTGTAAACTGAAACCCAGTAAACTCCTATTTTCTGGATGACTTTGTTTTATTTACCTACTTGTTTAATGTGAACCTATTCATAGGTGGGATTTTGTAAAAAAGAAATCTACTATTTTCGATGTGCGTGATTCTGTGTTTCGATGTGTGTATTGTACTGCATCATTAGGTTATTAAGTCAGTTAAAAATAAGTTTTAATTTACGCCTCGGCTAAATATAAAACTTATCAGCGGATACAGAGCAGTCATTGTATTGTTCGTCCTTAAATTAGAACAGGATACTTTATCACTATGTGTTTAATATGACATTATAAATCGAATGTACGTAAGTAGGTAGTAGTTAAAAATACATGGATAATTGTCTTCTTAGTAAAACGTTAAAGTGTTGTACCATCCTCCAAATAATTGTCGTCTTATGCAATATTTTCGAAATTCGTCGAAACTAAACATGAGGGCACAAAATGGCAACGCAAGGAACCACCTGCAAACGTTATTTTAAAGATTTTCCTTGTTTCTACATATTAGGAGGAAGTTGTTAGGAATTAGGTACCTACTTAGATACTTACTTACCATCTTAGTTTAAGCGGATACGTTCGGAAGAAAGTATTCACTCCCGGAGTGTAGCAAATAACACATGACAATAATAGCTCAAACACAAGTCCGATATTGAAAATTTTATTCTTCATTCCTGGAAATTGCCGGCAGAAATCATTCTGATTGCGTTATATAAAAATTAATGGATCTCAACATTGGCAGGGGCCCAACATTTAATTATAGAAGCATCATTAGTCTTACCGACATGAAACAAAGAGTTATATCTGGTCCTGCAAATGACGCCATTCATCATCTGCATGAGTACCACGGCTACGAAGTAGGCCGCCTGCGCAGCTTGTTCCACCTCCTTGCGCTCAATGTACGTCCACTCTTGGCCCAAGGAATCCGTTACGTCGCTCACCGCTACATTATCCCACTTTTGCCTTATACCTTAACAACTTTATCGTTAATTTCAACTGATTTGAACACATTTTCGATCAATAAGCAGCCACTTACCAAAAAGAGAATCAGGGTAGAATCCAAATTCTGCCATTACAATGAAATAAGCATACATGCCGGCTGCAAACTCTATAAGGCCCAAGTGCAAGTATACTAATGTTAACATTTGCGGCGTAACGAGGCGGTCACGGACGTTTGCAGGTCGCGTCATGACGTCAGTTTCAGCACGTTCATGCGCCAGGGCCACAGCCGGCCACATGTCTGTGCCCAAGTCTACGCACAATATTGTCATAACGCCTTCAACAAAACAATTATTTGATTTGTCTAAAGCTAAACAAAATTTTGGAGTTAGTAGCAGGTAGGCAGGTTCTTACCCAATGGCAGAGGGATGGAAAACAAGATAAACATAAACACTGGAGCTATTTCAGGCACATTAGAAATTAATATGTAGCAAACTGATTTTTTAAGGTTGTCTAAAATCCTCCTTCCCTCTTCAATACCCACGATTATGGTCGCAAAATTATCATCCATCAAAATTATGTCGGCAGTTTGTTTCGAGACCTGTATAAATAGCGACATATTTTACAAAATATCGTTATCGCATCATTGCAATATTCATAAACCTACACATGTACTTACCTGAATGTAGAAATATAAATAAGTTCTTACCTGTGACCCAGTAATGCCCATCGAGATGCCGATGTCAGCTTGTCTAAGCGCGGGAGCATCGTTAACTCCGTCTCCTGTCACCGCCACTACTGCGCCCTCTCGTTGACAAGCTTCCACTATTTGAAGTTTTTGTGTAGGGGAAGTTCTTGCGAATACTTTTTTTCATATGAGAGTAAAGGTAAGTTTAGTAAGTTAGAAAGTACCAAGACCTATATATCCATATAGTCAACGAGTAAATACCAATTTCGTAATGTCTATCGAGGGTCCAGTGTAATAAGTTTGGAGTCATGTTTCTTAGTTCGTTACCGGTGACAACGTGGCAATTTGTATTAGTGGCAATCCCGACTTCCAGCGCCACGGCGCGCGCAGTGGTCGGGTGGTCGCCAGTAACCATCATCACACGTATTCCAGCATCTCGGGCGTGGGCTATTGCGGTTCGCACCTAGTAACAAGACATATATTTAATGACGGTAGATACTAAGATTTAGGTACCTACTTATGTAGATAACTAAACTACATCAACTATCAAACATACCTTTAATGTAAATTGCAATAAGCATGTAATAGGTTTAGAAGTGATAGGTTTTAGAGTATCATTTACATACTTTTACAATGTCTAAGGGCGATTGGATAAACAGTACAGGCTGCTTGACGCCGTGAGCACAAAGACGATAGACATTAAAGGGCTAACCTCCTCTCGAGGTGGGTCCATAAGCCCCATAATTCCAAGTAGGCGTAGGTTCTCCAGAGGGTAGTTAACATCATCGCTGTTAAATGAATAGTTCAAAGGGAATTCCTTTGGATTTAACGCAAGGTCCGCAAAAGCCATAATTCTTTCACCTTAAAATTATTTGTAGGTAAATTAATAGTTGTTATACGAGTAAGTACCTACCTACAATCATATCTAAGACCTTAAAACGGGGTTCACTGACATAGAAGTGGTAAGACCCCTCTTTTAGGAATGGCTAGAGAGAGAGAGAGAGAGAGAGACGCCACGTCGTGAAGACTTTCCCGAAGACACAGCAGACCTTACGGTGGCAGTGTACCCTACCGCCGTGTACACCTAGGAAAGTCATAGGCGGCGGTGACCTCTTGCGCACGGCCTTAGTCGAGGCTACAGCGCGGTGTGAGGGATAGGAGAAAGAATTGGTGGTTTTTAATCAGTTAAAGTGTGATACTCCCCACCCAGGGCAGGAGAAGTACCTACATAATGAGATGATTTCCACACACAAAAAAATACTTCAGAACATCCTAAAGCATTTGCTCCATGCCTCGGAAACTGCTTTACCGATTCCGTTTTTTTTAATAATCAATCTAGCTAGAATTTTATGCTAAGAAAATGACACTTTCTTATCATAAAATTTATAAAAAAAGAAACAGAGCCAAGCGTTAGAGTTAAGGTCATCAATTTAAATAGTAAATAGTAGGCATGTATCTACAATGTTTTCCCTCACCAGTTTTTGCCAAATTTTCAATGGCCACTTCTACTATTCGTTTCATATCGTCTGTCAAAATAATATCTTTGGTATCGGTGGCGACAGTGAGACATCGGGCGAGTATAATCTCCGGCGCTCCTTTCATCACCACAATAAATCGTTCTCGTGAAGTTTCGAGATGAACGCTGGCCTACATTTGAATAAATTGTTTACGTCATCCAAAATTCGAATATTTTATGTCTATTTATAGGTCTACTAGATTACCTATATATTCAGTTGTAGGTGTAACAGGATATAAGTAGTAAACAAGGTCACATGAGGTAAAAATGTAGAATGTATTTAATTAATTCTTAAGACGTCTGGTGGGTTTTCCGACGGAAAAAATCCCTGCAGCCAGTTTGTTTATGATGGCGCGGCTTTTGGTACAAACTTTTAAGTTCAACTACTTATATGGAAATTAAGTAGGTAAATATTAACCGATTTTAATTAAGCGCATATGCTATGCCTATAGGTACGTTCCAAGTTAAAGTTTCCGTACAAACCTAATACCTTACAACTTAGATATATGTACTTACACAGTGTACTTACATATAGGTAGTTTTTTTACTTGTAAGTAACAAAATTCTTAACTAAGTATTTTCTATGCTGGACCTTAGGGGGTAGGTGTCAGGAGACAAAAGTAGATTTTTAGAGATTTGCTCCTTAATTCACATATTTGTCTAAATACTTGTGATATGTCAAAACTATATATAAGCAATAACATCTCACCTGATATTTATTAACTGAATTAAAAGGTATTTCTGTGATTCTTGGATAGTTCTTCCTTATAGTAAGTGGATCGCTTTGTTGGAAAAGAAATTTTAAAATGGCGATCTCAGACGCGTCCCCACGTATTCCACCGCCAATTTTGATGTGTGCGTTACTGCATAGCGCTCCACAAATCTTTAAATAGCTGTAGGCTAAATTAAAAAGAACATGTGGAGGTAATGTATTCTAATGTCGATTCAGATACCTAGTGTCGATTTCTTTTCAGAAAATAATTATTACCATTGCTTATTGCAATTTTTACAAAACTCCTTACTTTCAACCGTCGAGAGACCTGTTATTAGTATAGTACCTAAGTGGGTTAGGGCAACCGAGAAATGCTCTCTGACAAACCTTAACCTTTCAAACTGCAATTCTGGCAAATCCCTTAATAGTTAGGGACTGTGAGGGGATATTGCTCATAATTAAACTAATATTTGTCTCACCATTATTATTTTGCACCGCGCCTGTAATCAAAGTAAACAAAATGTTATCAGTTGGTAGTGCGGTGGAGGTAGATAACGGGGTTAATTAATAGTAGCTTATTGTGCTACATATCTACCAATTAAAGTAAGTATAACAAGTATACCTATAGGTATAAATATTTTGCAAATATTTAATCGTAATAATATTTATATGTAGGTATCTAATAATATCTAATAACAATAGTGATCGTGATCTCTTACTATTAAAATCTGAGCTCAAAACGGAATATACTTTGTTCCACGTCCAGACGTGAAGCACGACCATCTTATTCTCAGTCAGTGTACCAGTCTTGTCGGAACATATAACCGAACAGGCGCCTAAAGCTTCTACAGCGTCCAAGTTCTTAACCAAGCAGTTCCTCTTTACCATGCGCTGAGCTGTTATGGTCAAAGACGCCGTTATCGTTGGCTGTAAACCTTAAATTATAATGCATAATTTAGAATAGATACATCAAAATAGAGCTTAATTTAATGAGAATATTATCCAGATCTACCTTCAGGAATATTGGCAACAATAATTCCAATTACGAATATGATAGTATTCATAAAAGGATAACCAAGAAACATGGAAGATATACAAATAAACAAGCCAAGTGCTAAGGCCCATATCGACATGTATCTCATGAAGCGGCGGATCTCACGAGAGAGAGGAGATGGGGCCGGAGTCAGTCTCGCTGCCAGCCCGGCTACGCGACCCAAAGCTGTCAGGTCGCCACAGCATATCACCACACCTAAAACATTGGGTAGGTATTGACAAAGTACAACAAATTTTCATTCTAAATAAAGCATTTTAAAATTGTTCTATTAAGGACCAATAAATACGGATAATATGTAGAATACTGCGATATGTCTCATTCAGAATAGCAGACTTCATAGTCCAGATATGAGCAGGTACAATAGTTATGGTCCCTACCTAAAGCCCAGCCTTCAACACATTGGGTCGAAAAAAAAGCAACGTTCATCGACTCATGTATGTTTGGATTCCCTTCAACATTACTTCGAGCCACGGCCGCGGACTCGCCAGTTAACGAGGAGTTATCAACCTGTGAATAGATAACCTCTATATACTATAAAACCGTTTGAACTTGCATTAAAACACGTGTGTCCTCACGCGGAATGCGCACGTGTTATTGTTATTTCATTGCAGATAATGTGATGATGCGTACTTTGAATCCCTTGCTTTCAATTATGCGTATGTCAGCCGGCACAATGTCCCCCGCCTGAACGTGCACTATATCTCCCTTGACGATTTCCCTTACTGGAGTCTCGGTGTTTAAAACACCATCCCTTACGCAGTTCGCATAGGTTGGTAACATGCTTTTAAACGTCTTGGTGATCTGAAATGATAGATAGATGCATGCTACGTGGCACGTGGGTACTTAATGGTAGATAGGTACAGGATATGAAACAATCGCTGTTATTTCCCTCAAACACGAAGGTAACGTAGCTCGTAGGTGGCTACAATTGGTACTTATTCTTCATTTAGTGATTACTTTAGTTCGGATTACCTAGGTAGGAGGTACTCCATTGGTCTAAAAATACCTACTTAAATACCTGTTAAAAAGCTACCTAACAAACATGGTTAATAACCTTGGAACTTTTATAATTGTGATAAAAACTGAAGAGCCCACATATGATGTCGACTGCAACTAGAACGCAGCTTAGATAAAGATTATCACGGTTAGGCTCTAGCTTCGTCGACGACTCCATTATGTACGCTATAAAACATAATAGAGCTCCCAACCATATAAGTACAGAAAAGCCTGCGAAAAGAAAGTGCGATAGATCAGGTGAACCTACCTATGAATCTAGGTGGGTACCTACCTACCTACAGGTTATACGGTGATACATGTATTGAAATTTTAATGCAGGTAGGTACATAAAGTGGACTTCACCTGTCACCTCATTATAGTCGTATTTACAGTTCATACACATAGAGGAGTCGGTTAACAATACGTCGGCGGCTACGACCTTACAAGCCCGACTTTAGTTCAGATTCCCCTAAGCTTATTACACTTTTCGGGTTCAGATCAAAGTGGAGACCGAGAGAAACTGAGAAGCAGTCTTTTACTTCTGCGAAGCAGTCATGCTGGCATACTTATTGGGAGGTCAAGCTCGTAAAAAACTAACCTACCTACTCATGTCATGTCGGAAGAGTTGGTATAAATGTTTAAAATCCATACCTGCAAAAGCAGAGATTCAATCGGCCAGTAACTCAACTGACCATACAATAAAAAAGTCCCGAAACAACGGTGGTCGTACTTAGTTTGGATTAATGGATACCTGTGCAAAGCGATTTAATTAATTTTTTGAACCATCCTTGTTCTGTAGCAGGTGTAAGCGTGTTTGGCCCGTGGAATGCCAGCAAAGCTTGAGCCATTTCTTTGGTCAATCCATTTACGGGGTCAGTTCGCAGTCTCTCGTATAATTCTTCTGTGAACCACAATGCTTGGAGCTATGATACTGAAGTACTCAGACTTACTGGTAGCTATACTTATCTATGTGCGGACCACAAAATTATTAGTAAGTAGGTACCTATTTTCTTTATATGATCGAACCAGCCACCTATTGCGCAAAACGCCATGGAGCTACACGTGCAGAATGTTATCGAGAAATCATAGGAGTTAGCAGAATACGAAGTGACAGTGCCCGTAGCCTGGTAGCGTATTTAACGGGACGAGACATAACATAACACTTTTAGACTTAGTAATAGAACTAAACTTGATGAAACGATTGTAGGTAGCTAGAGGTACCTACTTACTATTATTTGATAAAAAAATATCACAGCCATTGCAAGTGCAGGAATCGAAACTCGCGACGTATCATGCTACAGTCGGTCACTCTGCCACGCCGCTAAACCTTCTCTTGACAAAACAATTGGCGATATATTTTTATAAATTCTATTAGGGATCATTTGGAACATTCAAGTAAACATAGTTAAGTAGTTATTAGTAAAAAAGAGGATGAACGAACATACGTAATGGTATCAAATGCAAATCTGTCTGTATTTCTTTCTTCAAAAGATTAAGCCGTGTGTGACTTAAGTCTCTTGATCGTAGACCTTTCGGTGTTATTGGTCTAAAGAATTCAGATAGCGAAACAGAACTTGAAGTCGCTGACGACATATTTTTAGATTTAACACTTTTACTTCTTTAATACGAACTCAGCAAAACCATATACGGGACACTCCCACCTGATTAGATTTTTTTTGCAATCTAGTTGGTTGTTAAATCTAATATTCATTGTGCTAAAACTAATCAAAGTATCAGCTTAGTGGTGCATAACAAACCTACAATATTCAGTACCACTTATTTTTTTTTTTATAGAACTATGATTTTCTCCTGTGTGTCCTTTACAAACATACAAAATCACATACTTACTATTGTTCCGTGCGGAAATGGAAACCACGGCATGCACAGCAACTAGTTGCCCAGCCGCCGTGCCGACCGTGCAGTCATAATATTAACCGTGCACTTGGATTATAAAGATATAGGTAAGTCAAGTAAAACAATAATTTTATATAAATTTAAAAAATAAAATACTTTAAAAATCAGACTCGGATTAATCAGAGAAAACATTTTATTATATGTTTTGCTTATAAATGTACAAATTCAGCACCAAAATTAAAAAGTAACTTTGAGTGAAATGAAAATTAACTAAATTATTATACCTATAGTAACATACTATGATAACAATACTTGAACAAATTATAGTTAGCATTCATTATACTTTTATTATAAGGCATACGTAAAACAAAACTCATTCATTGGATAAAATACAAAAGTATTTATAATTTCATAGTTTTTTGTCTTTAAAGACAGGAAATAAATGCAGTTTAATAAAAAAATTACATAATACAAATTTATTGCACAACAAAAATTTTAATAAGTGGTACTTGTAGTAACTTAGATTTTTCAATTTGTGAGCATTACTTGTAACTATGATACTCATAATTTGCTCCTGTATCCTTTGGCCCAAATAATATTGAGTTGTTCCATTTCCTTTTCATTGGCCTGTAGCAGTTCTTCCCGCACTCTATCCCTCAACAGCTTCTTCGTAGCAGTAACAGTGTATGATGGAAGCATTGAAACTTCAGTTATTTTATCCCAAACCTTGCTTTGAAGTTCCTCTGGCTTATAAACATAGTTTATAAACCCATACTCTAGTGCTTCTTTTGCTGGCATCTTGTAGTTGCAGAGTAACATTTCCATTGCCTGGAAATTTATAACAAATATCAGTAATATAAGATCACAATGTTGTAATTATTTCTTATTTTATTTTATTTTGGCCCAGAGTTTAAGGCACTCTCATCTCAGGCATAAAAACTTGGAGAGTACCAATGTGCCATTTTCTGAGTTATGTCTACTTTCTATTATTATTTAGACACCACTGATAAATGGTGAAGGTTTGAAATTACCACTACACCTTGAGCAGGCATGGTGATTAATGTCATACCTTTTCCATGTAAGAAGAGGCATTTGGTCAGCAACGGCCACTTATAGAGTTATGAGATGTTATTTTATAGATTTTATTTTAAATTAGGTAGGTACCTTTTTGTCTCCTAGGATTCTAGGGAAAGTAAATGTTGAACATCCTTCAGCCACAATTCCCAACTTTGTGAAAGGAGTGTAGAAATATGACTGTAAAATAATTATATATTTTTAGTTAATATGTATTATAAGGGTAAATAAATAAATAAAAAAATAAATTATAAGAGGTGAATATAGTCTCTACTTACACTTTCAGACGCAAATACCAAATCACAAAGTGCTAATGTTGTAGCCGCAATACCAATAGCGGGCCCATTGACAACAGCAACCAGTATTTTTGGGAACATTATAAAAGCTTTGATGTAGTCTTTGAGAAGATTCAAGTGCTTGCCTGTGTCATCATGAGGGTCTTTTGGAGCTGAGAAGTCATTACCACTACTATAAAAGTCACCTGTTCCAGTAAGAACCATTACAGAGACAGAGTCATCTGTGGCTGCATCATTCAGTATACTGATCACTCGTCGATACATCACTCCATCAATGGCATTCTTCTTCTTCGGTTTGTTATATTGAATAATTTTAATTCCTCCTTCATTGGTCTCAATAATTGTCTCTTGGATGCTCATCTTGCACTGTCTAGTTTCTTAATGTGGGTCTAAAGTCCAAAGTACAATTATCAGTTTTTATGATATCATCAAGACGCGACCAAAGTTGAAATAACTGGATTTTGTATGTTTTTTTATCAAGTTCTTACCAAAGTTAAATGATAAAATAAAATAAATATAGGTACAAGTCTTGCTGAACGCAGAACTTCTTTTCAAAGTCAGATACACGAACTATAGTTTTGTTATATACAAATAACTTGTACTTACAGTAAAAAAATCCTAAATTAATACTAGAATAGTAACTAAAATTTTTAGCTTTAGCGCTACTGAGTGTGATTAGTGATATCGTGATAACCACTGTCAAGCGAGTCAAGTGTCACAGTCGGAAGACGTTGACGTACGTCAAATTAAATAAAATTGACATTAGTCCTTTGCATTAATCTGATAATGAGAAACAGCTTTAATAAAATATTGAACTTGGTATTTTATTTGCAATGTTGTATATGTATATTACACTATGTTTGCTAAAATAGAAATTGACAATAACATGGCTCTTAGAATATTTTATTCACTGTAGGACTTATCAGTACTTTTTGTTATGGCAATTGATGTTTCGATTAGTACCACAGTGAGTTTTTGACATCCATGAGATTTTTGACGTATTTCACGGTATTTCAAAATCAAGCAAGTGGACGTCAATTTAATGATGAAATGATAACGAGGGCTGACATTTTTGACCTAGCCTAGCCCTCTGCATCTGTTTCTCAGCAATAAGTTGAGCGGAATGATTAGATTCCTAAACCAAATCCAAAGAATACATAACTTTTGCTACAGTAACGTTATAGTGAGTAATCAACTTAGAGGTTTCAGCACAAGTGACACTATGTTTAAGTCAGCAGTGTTCAATCTTAAAGATGCTTCAAAAGATCAAGTTCAAGATTTTCTAAACTCGTTTGATACAGTTTTAACAGATTGTGATGGTAAGATATTTTTGTTATCGTACAGATCGTCTGATTAGATAAGTGTGTATTTACTATTTAAAAAGTTCAAGGCAAGAACTTTACCTATTACTATGTAGAGTAATATCATATTTCGATACTCCTTGTATTTACTTTTTTTATTATTTCCTGAGGTGTTCTGTGGATTGACAACAATGCCATTCCGGGATCAGCAGATGCAATGAATTATTTTCGAAAATTGGGAAAAAAAATATTTTATGTGACAAATAATTCAACTAAAATTCGGAGTGAGTTTGCAAGTAAAGCAACTCAACTAGGCTTCATTGCAAGTCAGGTAAAGGTTTTATTATTTTTCTGTCTAAAAGTAAAGTGTGACTATCTCACAATCAATACAATTTATTTACAACTAACTGTGCCCCGTTGTCCCACTTATACAGTTTAGCCTTCACTCCCATTATTATGATATCAAGAGACAACTTTCTGTATGCTGTATATTCCATTAACTATAATTTATTTACTACCAGTGAGAATAATTACAAGTATAGTAAAATTTATTTATTTCAGGAAGAGATATTGTCAACTGCTTATTTAGTAGCTCATTACCTTAAAGGTATAGGGTTTACCAAAAAGGTATACTTATTGGGATCAAATGGCATTGGAGAAGAGCTGAAGGCTGTTGGTGTCAGACATATTGGTGTTGGGGTAAGTACCAAAATGATATGTAGGAATAAAAGAATGTGTTTGAAAATAAATGTTTTGTTACCGTCAAAATAAATACACAATTAAAATATATTCTCATTACAGCCAGACCATGTGAAACCAGATTTTAAATCAATGCAGCCTTCAGAACTAGATCCTGAAGTTGGTGCTGTGGTGGTGGGCTTTGATGAACATGTCAGTTACCCAAAATTCATGAAGGCTGCCTCTTACCTAGCTTCTGAAGAATGTTTGTTCATAGCAACCAATACAGATGAGAGGTTTCCTAAAGGTGGCTCTATTGTTGTGCCTGGTACTGGCACATTAGTAAGAGCAGTTGAAACCTGTTCAGAAAGAAAAGCCCTTGTTCTTGGTAAACCTCACAATTATGTAAGGAAGTATCTTGAATCATGTGGACTAAATCCAGCTAGAACTTTGATGATTGGAGACAGGTAATTTATTCTCTTATTTTAAATTGAGTAACAAGTATACTTTTAAGATTGTTAACCATTGAAACTATTTAAATCTGGTTTAATTTAATTATTTATTTATTTAGTCACTAAGATAAGACAATAATTTCCTTTTATAAGGATTCTTTTTTTATGTGATATGAGGACAAATAAATAAATAGTTTACGTGATGGTAAGCAATCGGCACCGCCCATAAACCCCTGGAACATCAGACGAGTTACTAGTACTTGGCCAGCCTTTTGAGGATTAGGATTTAGAGATTGGGTCTCCAGAAATCTCACTCACATAACAAAACACAATGCTGCTGCTGTTTCAGGTCAGTTTTCTGTAAGTCCATAGTATCACTACGGTCAAGTCAAAGCTTGGCTCTCCAATACTTTTTATTTTATTACTGTTGATTCAAAAGTCTACAACAACAAGATTTGTGTCATAAGGGGAATTTCACACCATCAAATCATTTACTTTTCTATTTACAGATGCAACACTGATATAGAGCTTGGTGTCCGCTGTGGCTTCCAAACACTCCTAGTTCTCTCAGGCGTGACTTCACCAAAAGACCTGGAGAAACTCCGCAGCGAAAAGACTCCACCCTTACCAGATGTCGTTTTACCGAAGTTGGGAGATTTACTTTCCCTTGTATATGATACAGCATAGAAAAATAGCTAATACAAATAGTAGCTGATTACAGTAGAATGTTCAAATCTTAGGTCAATTCTAAAACAAGGGTAGTATGCATTAGATAGTACAATTCTCAACTAGCAGAATGTGAGGTTAAATATTTATTTTTTATTTATTGTAACATGAAATATGTTTATGTCAATGTGCTTACTGTGTTTTATCTGACTGTGATTTTTTATAATAGAACTAGATAAATTTTAAGCCAAGTAATATTAGGCCCATTTATTTCTTCATATAACATTATTTAATACTACACTATAATCTTAACCTAACAAATCACTATTGAATGTATCCTTTAGCACCTTAGATCTTAATTACTAAGAAATTTCAATGACAATTTTATATATTTTACTTTAATTCTTAGCACAGTTTCTAATTGAACAATCAGATTGATTTATGCTTTTATCAAGTACACTAATGAAGCTATCAGTAGTCTTTGGTTCAACGAGGTTTTATACGTAAGGTACCCATGTTTATCGGCATTCAATATTAGCCTTCAACTGGCGGCATTTACTTTGACAAACTACATACGTTAACTTGCGCATAGTGAAATAATTTTAGCTATGGAGCATCACCTATTATCTGTGACTACTTTGCATGATTCATTAAGAATACTTGAACAGAGATAGCATACAGCTTTGTATGCATTCTGAGATAGGCTGATAACAAATGATGAATTTAGCTATCTATAACCTAAAATTAATCTCTAATTTCATAAATCGTAATATTTAGACAATAATTCAGTGAAAGAATGTCTTAACTGGTTTAACTTATAGTATTTAATTGGGTACCTACAAAACGACTGCAAGTTACTTGTTGATAACTATTAGGTACACTAAGTTACTGCAATACTAACGTGTCTTAAGTATTATGACCTGCTATTTACGTACCTATGTTTAATTCATATTGTGTTTTGTCTTTGTCCTACCCCAACCCAGAATATTGTGAAAAATTAAGATATTGAATAAGTGTTAAGATCATTATGTATCAATAAATAAGTAAGGGGACTACAATAACGTTATTTTACTATAAGTACTTTGTTACTGTATATATTTTAAAACTGCTTTGTTGGCTCGTCACTGTATGTGTTCATTTGTATACAGAAACATAAAATATTTTATGACAGTTGTGAAATATATAATGTTGCTTTTAATAAAATATTTACATCGTTGAAGTACCTTTTTTATTTAGTTTACCACGTAGGTATAAATAATGACGTTTAAATCGTTTGCTCTCCACTTTTCTAGGCCCTTAATATAATAATAACAACAAAATTTATTAATAATACCTACCTTAGTTACACAGTGGATACCTTTTTTTGTCTACGAGACTAGACCTTAAAATACGGTTACTTTTTGGGAAAAAGACAAAGGAGTGTGACACTGACTAAAACCATCCTGGTGGCAACCATCAACACCTGTAAGAGACACCGGATCCTCTTAGTAGGTGGACCAAGTTTAAGGGTGGGAGAGCCATGCTTCGGCACGAAAAGGGTCGGCTTGACCGGAGTGATACCGCGGCCTCATATAAAACCGTGTTTCGCCGTGTGACGGCATGAGTAAGGTTACCGGAGGCCCAATACTTACTTCCCCTCCCCCAGTCCCTTTCCAATCCCTATATCTCCAAATCCCCAAAAGGTCGGTAACACTCGTAACTCCTCTGTTGTTGGAGATGACCATGGGCGGCGCTGATTGCTTACCATCGAGATAGGTAGGTAGGTACTTAAGTAATCCGTCTGCTCGTTTGCCGACTAATCACAAAAAAAGACCAACTCCGGAAAAGAGAATATTGTCAAGAAGGTAATTATATTCGTCAAATTATGAGAGCTATGGATAATGGATAGGTATCAGTAGGATTAGCCCGCTTATGGGCGTACCTTCCCAAAATGCGGATTCGGAAAGTCTTGGAACATTTTGCGGCGCATGCGTATTATTGTATCGCAATTCGCCGCGCATCTCTGGGCTTGTCAACATTAGGTCCCCTCTATTTCGCGCCAGTATCGGTGCAGCCGCGATAGATACGCGCCGCTACGAATAGCGCTCGCTCCGCACGCTAGTTAATGTGATCTCATTTATTTTACTCATATCCCGAAATATTGATGTGAGTCCATATTTATTTTTATAATAGATCTTAGAACACAAAATTCTTTGTTTGAATATATTTACAGTGCATAAGATGATGTGTGAAAATCGCAAAGATTTCCTCTTCAAAATCACGCGAATCCAAAAAAGCCCTGCTAATTTTATGATCCCTATAATATTCTGCTCACCTATATATTTTTTTGCTCCATGATAAGTAGGCAGGTATTGTAATCTGGGACGAATATACATAGGTGTTATGCTTTTTTGGCAGACAAAGTTTTGATACTTATTAGCTTTCGTAGTAGGTACAAGAGTCCATGTCGCATCGTTACATTTGTTTTAGGAAAACAAAGAAAGCGTTGGGGTTGAGGGGTTGATATATATCAGAATATGTTAAGGGGCTGTCTCTACTTCCCTCTTCTTCTGGCCAGCTACTGATTTAGAAATTATTTTATTGACTTTATTTATCGACGAGACGTTAGTAGAGAGGTGTTTGATTCAACGGTCTTGCACAATTTTCTCCATGGGCTTCTATATTTAGATTGATCGCGGAAATGTTTTCGTCTATACATCAATCAGAACTAAAATATTTCCATTGCTCTTGCATCACATTCATAAATAATTTGACTGTTTTAATACAATTCTGATAACCGTTATAAGTGATTACACACTGAAATTTCCTGACGATAAACACTTTATCTGAAGTATCGACGCATTCAAAATAATTCATCGCCGTGCAATTATGGTGATAAGAGACAACAGTCACGGTAGTTGGTACAACCTTCGACAAATTAAATATCGTAACTAGCTTGGTAATCTCTAAATGTGTTTGGCACCTTATTGCTTACGTAGTTCCGCAAATAACACTGTCACAAGATTATCGTAACTAGATACTATCAATAATGATTAACGTTACGCTAACTAAACAGAGTTAACTTAGGTAACATGCCTGTTTGTCATTTGTACTACGTAGATGATATTGTAATAAATAAGCATGTTTAAGTAGGTACCTTCATGTAATCAATGATATTGTATTTGCAATTATAGAAAGATTAGGAGCTACAAACTTATCTACTAGAACATAAACTTCGATAATAAGTACATATCAACTTTCCGCAATTCAATTGCAGTGTTTAGGTATGAACCTATCTACTTACTACATGAATACAGAAATATTGTCTATGTTAAACGATTTCTAAATGCAAATATCTCGACCCAAAGCGTGCTTACAACTCTCTAAGTCTCCATAGACAGAGCCTATGGATATATTGCTGACTTAACAACGGAGCCAAGCCGTTGTTAAAAGTCTGTTTGAAGTTTATGTTAGGAGATGATATCATCTACCAATACCAAGTTGTGGTAGGAAATACGCATTGATATTTATTTATCTACCTTTATTTGTTAGTTTTTCATATGTATTTAATAGTTTTTTGTAGACATTTTATTTTAAAATAGCCATTATTTAGGTAGGTACTAGGTAGGTACCTTTCTATTTATTTTATTCTTCTAAACAATCTTATACCAACATGAATCTAGGTAAATCTTTAATTTGATAAATCTTACAACTACGCATCACATCCAAGGGCAATTATTATTTCATTTCATTTATGAGACACCATTCTTGTAGGTTTGTCAACAGTGATGTTTAAATATACAAAGCGACCACACTAAAAGAAATGCCTGGGTTGACATGCCTAAACCATTTCGATTGCAGATAAAAACGTATACTTACTCAAAGTATCTTTCAGTTCCTTCCAACTGCCTAGGTAGATATTGTTAGTTGCGGGACCTACTAATAAGCTGCTACTAATAAGTGAAATTTAATAAAATTCAAACGTTTCCAAACCTAGTCTTTTGTTTCGAATAACTTAAATATGAAAACAGTTCACATTTCTTGTCTTTAACGTCGTGTCTAGATTGTTTTCAGGCGACCTAAGTAAGCTAACAATGAGCGCTGCCAACACTTTATGCATCACAGTGTCTACATATTCTCAGTAACAGATTCATAACACTTATATGTCATATGTATATTATGTTCACGTAGATCTACTTATTTAGCATGTTCAATTTATGGAAACAATGGCTGGCAAGAAACGTTTAGTGTCTATTGTGATAATGCCTTAGTTATTTAGCAGCTCATATTTCAATGATCAGTGATTATCGCGAGACTGCTACTTACGTACCTCCGTAAATATTTACTGTGTAGAAAGAAACTTGTTCGATAACAATTTTTATCTTTACATAAATATATACCTACATTTAGGTATGTAGGTACCTATGTGATTATCCTGAAAAAAATAACTGAATGAGAAAACCAAGTTGTAGATAGGTATGTCTATTTACCTATCTTCGAGTTGGAGTTGTAGGCTACATAGATTACTTCGTTAGTGTGTCTAATTCCACTTGGTAGGTAAATGATTTTTGGCGTACAGCAAAATTAACTAAGTGTGGGAGAGCCAAGCTTCGGGACAAATGGGTCGGCTTGACCGGAGTGATACCACGGCCTCACAGAAAACCGGCGTGAAACAACTACCCACAGCGTTGTGTTTCGCCGTGTGAGTTAGGTTACCGTTTATCCCCATAAGGCTTTTTTTGTCAGGGGAACATCATCAAATGACTTCTCCCGCCCAGGGCCGGGCGGGAGGGAGTGTCAGACTCTTACTGACTAAAAACCCCCCTGTTCCTTGTCCTGCTCTGGGCCGAGGTCGCAACCCCGGCTGAACATCAGCCCTATAGGGCCCCGTCTGTGGTGGTCTATTGGCTCTATGAGGCGCGCGCGGAACGCTACGCGCCGTACGCTCAGGCCTGGTTCTGGTCGGGCGGCGAGCTGGCCTTACTCGCCGACCGCAGACCCGCGTTTACGGTGGCATCCCCATAAGGCTGGTAACGCAATCGTAACTCCTTTAGTGTTGCGGGTGACAATAGGTGGCGCCGACTTATTGCATAAAAAAAACTATGCAACCAACACAAAATCTGCAATGAACATCCTGCCTATGGTCAACGAAACACTGCAATGACTGCAAATGACATTCAGTTATTTTTTCTTCAATTAGTAACTTCAACACTACCTACCTATTTGTAGAAATGAACAAAAAGTTGGAGTAGGTAGGTACTTTAATTTCGTAGGATTAAAAGAAATATAGATATAGGATACATATAGGGATAGCCAGCCCATAAGCTTATACATCCTATATCTGTCTAATTTAGAATTTCTACTTTCCTATAAGTAGCAAAAATGCCTAAGGTCTGAAAAAGTAAAGTTTAAGTTATCCCATCGCATTGACGTGGGTAGGTACACCTATTTACCTACTATTTAACTATCTACCTTTGAAGTTTTTACTTCAATATACTTAGTTGTTTGTCTAGATATAGGTAGGTACCTAAACAAATGATGGTGCCATGAAACTATTAAACAAGTATCTAAAGTAGATACCTAGATATTGTTGGCCGCAGGGAAAGTCTATGCAGAACATTTATCAACTTCTATAGAAACTTGCAAGGCCGTTCACATTCTGTCTAGTTTTTCGCACGCTACCTCACTTTCCCGATTTCCCTCCATTTGTAGTTAATGTTGAGGTACTTTTCGCTATAAAGTTGTTGAACTATGCGTTCAACAAGTTAACTGCATATTTTGATTCTAATTTCAACTTACCTACCTACGGTGAAATTTCTTATTCAATTTATTAACAACGTACCTACTAATGTAAATAGGATATGAATGTTTGTCAAAACTTTTTAAAACAAATCAATATCTAAGCTTTTGGAGCCTCTGAAAATAATTCGTTCCTTAATGGCGATGGCGGTAGAAAAAGGGGCGATTTAATTGTCAGATTTACCGCACCCCAATTGAAACTTGGGAAGGGAAGTCACGTGAAGTATAAGTTACTTCACAACACAACACAACCTCTCTTCTCTATTGTAGATAGTACCTACTTAGTGACTCAGCGATCACGTTTTTGCAATTAAACATTTACTTACTTTCTTATAACACGAGGTTGGCAGTACCTACTTACTTATACGTAGCAAAGATCCTACAAACCATACTTATTTTTAAAAGGAAATATTTAAATTAAGTCTAACTAGATTCTCAAAGAAAAACTTTGATTTTGAGTTATTTTTGACAACTTTTTGTCTACTGCAAAGCTGGCCTTCTTTTGGTGCCAACCGCTCCTTGTACCAATACCTACCTTGAGTTGTAAGAACTGTTCAATGAAGGGAAACCTTGAAGCAACAGAATATAACATTGTAAACATTTAATAACTTGATACACTATTACGCAATAAAAAGTTCATGGCTAAAAGCTCGAGGTATCAAAGTAGCGTTAGAAGGTGTGGTTATTATTAGTGACAGGTTTTAAATTAGGTAGGTAACGTGAACTCTTTCGTTAACAGCGCTTATATATCCCGTACCCACATCATATATAACAAATGCCCAACCAGAAATTATTGCGAAATGTCCACAAAGGGTAATCTACGTAAAATTTTGTAGCGTGCTATTAAGATTATGCCTGAATCACCATTTCAGTATTGACGGTGGTTGTTTTTTATTAAAATTGTTACAACAGGAAATCTACAATATCTCATGGGTTAAATATTGCGTTATAACTTAACTAGGTACTAGACCGTCGGTCACCTAAAACATGACATCACCTTCGAGTAAACATAGTTCCATCATGAAGTGCGACTCATTACTTAGACACACAAGTCACGTTTGCAGATGAACGCAATGAGTTGCCTTCTCATTGTGCCGTTTCTGACCGAAGCATAATTTATGTTAAGGACGTTTTTTAACGATATCGACAGTCAATCTTACAGTCCTATTTTTATTTCACCTATGACATGAGAATAGTCAAGTTTCTAAAACAGTTCCCCACAATTTTCCAACGTGTTTTCTGATGTGTTTTAGTCACGCGACTGAAGGCCTTTAAAGTCCATAGAAAACCGATTCTTTACCAAATATACCTACCTAATTATTGAAGAGGGGAAAGTTAAATAATGTTAGCTACATATAGTTATATTT